TTGGCGAGACCGGATAACATCGTTGTTTAATCGGAGGATGATCTCCGACTTCGATACGGTGTTCCGTTAACGTGGTGGCCCCGAGTTTTTCCGGAACGCCCGTTAATTGTGACTCTAAAAATTCGCGCAAACGTTACTCTTGATCCGGCGTTAATTCACTTAGACCACAGCAGACGAGAGGCGACGCTTCGGGTTTCCGCGCCTTTTCCCCTTTTTCCGCCGAATCCGCCGCGATATCTGTACTGTCTCCTTCCGACAGGACGACACGAACGCTCGCGAGAGAACTCGAGGAACCCTTCTCGAAAGGATACTGTCGTGAGGAATCCTCTACGAAATGCCATGTTCCGTTCGCGAAATTAACGCTAATTCCGAAAGCTTGTAAGAGATCTAATCCTAAAATACACGGCAACGCTAAAGTTGGCAACGAGTGGATTACCATTTGCCGGGTTTTATCGTCCACGCTAACTGGGACAGTTACCTCCCCCCTGACTCTCGCTGTTTGATTCGTCGCGGTCGCCACCCGTCTCCCGCCGGTCGGACGGAACGAGAAACCTAATTGCTTAATTAGCGCCGTTATTTCCGGACCAATGTAAGTGCGACTAGAGCCCGAGTCAACCAACGCGCCTATCTCATATCCCGCGATACGAACGCGGAGGAATTTCAGAGAGGCCGAGGCCCCCTTTATATTAAACGCGCTGTATGCGGCCTCGCGGCGATCCACGGCCGAATCGTTCGGGGCGGAGAGGGTAGGAGTCGGGACGCCCCTCTTACGCGACTCCTCTATGCGTTTCCCGAGCACGCGGGACACGTACGGACGGTAACTTCGGCTTTACCGCACCGATAGCAATGTCTTTTCGGCGGGGCTTTGCAATCGCGCGAGAAATGCCCCGTCCCCTCGCAATTCCAGCACGTCGCGGTACGTGCAGCGGCCGGAGGGGTGGTCGACACGTCGGTCGCGGAAGCGGCGGTCACTGCGGGAGCGCTCGCCTTGGGCCCGCCCGCCGGTGCTTTTTTCCCGTTCGCGGCGCCTGCCCCGGTCCCGGTCGAATTTGCGGTAGAAGTACCAAGCGCGGCCACGGTATCGCGAGAATTTCCGCCGGAACGGCGATTCGCGCCCTTAGCTACCCGATATGCGAGGTCCGGAAATAAGGATTGCTCCGGCGGGGGAGGTGCCCGATAAGTTTGCGCGGCACGGCAGCTAGTCTCGGCTCGCGTGGCCCACCGCTCGAGCGCCTTCATATTAGTTACCGCGTCCCGAGGAATCAAAGTCTGTAATCGGGGTAGAAGGTGTCGGTGCGCGTAGCCGACCTTCTCTTCTTCGCGCCACGGCGGCGATAGCCGATCGTATAGCGAGCTGAGGCACGTCAAAAAGTCCGCGACGGGTTCTGTCTCCCCCTGCGTGCGCCGCATTATCTCGTCGCGAAGCGCGAATTGGAAGTCGGGGTCCCCGAAGCGCGTACGCCATTCCTCCCTAAACGTGGCCCAGGTAGTCAGGCTATCCCTGATCCCGCGGAACCAATGCAGCGCGATACCCGATAAGAAGAACGGCAGGCATCGTAAAATGTCTGCATCTGAGACGGGAATTAATTCGCGGCCCTCCTCCACGCGCAACAAAAACGTTTCCGCATCTTCGCTGCGCGCGCCCGAGAATTTCAAATTCCATTTACGCATCGTGTTATAGGCGTCGGCAGCGGAATTATGGCCCGAGTCCCGAAGGGTCCCATTTAAGCTGTCGTGGTCCGGCGGGGAGCCGGAGAGGCGCGCGATCCTATCCGCAGACGGACTATCCGGGTGCGTATTCCCCGCGGGAACCTGTAGGCATTCTGTATCTACCGGGTGGCTTATCGCGGAGGCGCCTTCCGAGTCTCCGCCGCGACGTAACAAACGCAGTAACCGGAGGGCCAATTCAGTGTCGGTCCCTTCCGCGGATAACCCTCGTCGAGTTAACTCGCCCATCCTCTGTTCACGGTTCGCGAGGAGGATCCACTCGTCGCTAAGTTCGACAGAATCCATCGTAACGCGATGATACTATTCACGGTTACTCTAATCTCGAATTTCTATAACGCGAAAAACACGAACGTTAACGCGTTCCCGAAAAGGCCACAAAATCGTTCAGTCAAACCGTTCGCGAAGTCAACAACATTCCTCGCTTTTCAATCGTAGCGAGCCTAGCTAAGGATAATACACGCGAATAATAATATACGCGAGCACTAACACACGCAAACAATAGTACACGCGAGCAAACACACACGAAGGAATGCGAAGACAACACGCTATAGCGGTGAAGTTTTCTGCCGGTACGGCCGGTTCGACGTAAACACCGAATTCCGATACTATCTCGCTCCGACTTTCACCACCTTCCGACGCTATACGCGACTTCGAATAATATCGCGACCTTACAATTTGACCCACCCGAAATAATTCACCGCGATCGAAACGAATAATTAAGTCCTGAAAGAAAAGGTTAGACAAAATGTGCGAAACATACAGTAGATGAGAAACACAAAAATATAGTACACATCATACCGCAGAAAACAAGATAATACAAAAAGATATCGCATAGTAGACTTAATATCGCATAGAAATAAAAATAAAACAAAATCGAAAAAAAGGTAGGATAAAAAATTTTCTTTATTTCAGCAAAAAAAAATTAAATCTGAAAAGAAAAAAAAATTAATTAATCTGCCGTCACCCGCGCGAAATTGTTATCGCGCTAATTCAAGCCCTTATTATGCTTTTCAGCGATCTTTCGGCTGCCCCACGTTGGGCGCCAAATTTTGTCACGACTTTTTACCCGTTCGGGCGCAAAGCCGGATCAAAAGGGAGTTGCGGGAGAGTAGGATGTCAGGCCTCTCCGACGGATCTCTCGCACGAACCGAATTTCTAACGCGAACGTGAGTGTTGGGCGCCAGACGCGGTATCCCGCGTCCACTAACGCGAAATTTATCACAAATTATCGAAACGTTTATCGTAATTAAACGGCGTGCGAGAAATCGACCAGCTCGGCGTATTACTCAGGGACGAAGGTGATATAGGGCAGCGCGAATTGTGACGGGCGACACAAAAATTACGAACTCAAACAATTAATAACAAAAGAGATTAACATTTATTGCCAAGAAAAAAAACAATTAGCTCACGAGATTGCTCTAATAAATTAAAGAACCGTTGATTCACCTTTCACAAAAGCGAAATCATATAGACGTGAATAATCGTGAGCGTGAAAGAATAAATAAAAAAATCGTTACAACCAGGAAAATAATAACTCCGAAAACAAGTCAAATTTTCACGCGATCTCAGACGCCAAGTTTACTCCAGCAAGTACGCAGGATCGCGATTGTTCAGAATGCTGTCGCCAGGAGAGAGTATCCCCGAAATACGAGGCGCAATATAACACAACGACGGGCCAATTATCAAGCCCGAACGCGACAGATAACGCGAAATATTTAGGTTTTATCGCGCCGAGGAAATCATCAGCGCGAGAAGAATATCGTACTCAATCTAACGAATTTTTACGGGACATACGCCCTACGCAAAAGAGTACTTAATTCAACGCGAAAGAAAGAGCATTCTCCGAGGAGAATAGCGCTAAACCAGCGCGAGACTACACAACGCAATAATGTCTTGACGGACTGGCAGACTAACGCGAAATAAACTAAATCTAACGCAAGAGATGACGAACTTACATACTAACGCCATGTACAACTAAATCTACGCAGGGGAAAATATCTACACGAGGAAAACGCGAATTTGACCGCGAGCACACGAGATTACGGAAACGGCGTAACGCAAAAGAATCATTCTCGACGAAGAAACTACGATCACGAGAGTCGCGCCTGACGCACCGCCGGGTAATACGCGATCGCAACCACAGATACCGTAAGAATGTTCGCGAATTACCGAATCGAGATATCTATCGCGATCTCCAGGACTTTCACGCGATGAGTACTATTCACCGGCCACGAGACCATTCCAAAGCCCTTCGCTCTCGCTCTCGATCGCAGATGCAAAATTACGAGATCTCAATTACGCGAGTACTTTAGGCGAGAGCGTGGCCCGGAGGGCGGTGTCGTGGCTTACATAACTACCGTCTATTGCGAGGCAACCTCACCGGTAAGATACTCCCTCGGTCGGGGTTGTCCTCTCCGCCGTCACCAAGAACCGTCGCGAGAGAATCAGGCACCAGGTGCGCAGCAAGAGTCGGTCGAGAAGCGCTCAAGAAAGCCGTGCGTGTCGTCCCGAGGGTGGCTCAAGAATGATCGCGGAAGTGCGCTCGATAGAGGCGTCGATCTAACGCCCCTAGCGGGACATGCGCGACCCTTCCGCGCGATAAGCGGACCAATTGGCGATGAGCTTGCAAGCTCGCGAGGGAGCCGCTCGCAGGGTTATCGACCGTGGATTCGGCGGGGCGTTCGAACGTGCCCTTCGCGCTCGCGGGGACCTTCCAGGTTTCCCCGTTGTAGTAGGCAAGACGATGACTCCCGCGGGGTCCTCTGGCTCGACTCGGGGGCGGTGGCCATCCACCCCCAGAGTCCGTCTGGCCTCGGAGGACTGCAGACAGGCCCGGCGCCGGGCCCCTGCGATGCACAGGTTCGCCTGCCGTTGCTGGCGCGCAGCGCGCGCGTCTCACGTCGTCCCTCGCTTAGTAGCGGTCCCCGTAACTCGGGCTCCTCGCCCTCGACATCTCGCTTTCGGTCCTTGTGATTCCGTTTATCATCCGGCTCTCCTGGTACTCCTCGTCATCTTCAGTGTGGCGTTGGAACTCCAACTCGACGGGGTGAGGCGCCACGCAATATCGCAAGAGAAAAAAAAAACAATAATGAATATTTGAATCGCAACTTTAATACGCCCCTGGAGATCGAAGGTTGATTCGTGAGCCGTCCTCGGGCGCGCAATCCGCGCCTTGTGACGGCGGCGGAGCGCTGCCACGCCGCGGCGAAACCGCAACGTCACACCGCATATGCCAGAATATACACCCTCTTACCTCCTAACATTATACCTCCTCATTTGGCTCTGCCCACTTCCTGTTCCATATCCGCCAATAGCACATTGAACAACAGCGAGCTCAATGGGCACCCCTGCCTTACACCCCTTCCCGTCCAGAACTTTTCTCCCAATTCGTCTCCTACCCTTACTCTGCTTCTCGTCTCCCTTAGTATCTCCTCCGTTTTCCTCACCAGCCCTTCCCTTATTTCCCTTTCTCTTATTGACTTTATCAGTACTCCTCTATCCACCAAGTCAAGCGACGCCTTCAGGTCCACAAAACACGCTATCAGTTTTCCCCCCTTCTTTTCTAACCTTCTGTTCACCAAGTAATTCAACACAAATATATTGTCTATAGTTCCCATCCCCCTTCTGAAACCTGTCTGATTTTGTGGCACTATTCTTTTTCCTTCTATCTCCTCTCTCAACTTCTCCGCCAAAATCGCCGTATACACCTTATATAAAGACGACATTATTGTCACCCCTTTATACTCCTCCGCCCTTTTTCCTTCCCCTTTCTTTACGATAAGCGCGATTATTCCCTCCTTTCAGTTTTCTGGCCATCCTCCCCTCTTCCATATTCTGTTGATATATTTCCATGCCCAATTCTCCAACTCCTTCTCCCCTTGCTTCCACACCTCACCTGGAATCCCATCCCTTCCCATTGCCTTTCCATCTTTTAACTTCCTTATCACACTCCTCATTTCTTCCAGGCTTATCTCCTCTTTCTCGTCTCCTTCCTTTTCCTCCCTTCCACCTTCCTTCCCCACCCTTACCCTCCCCTCTACTCCTCCCAACAACTTCATAAAGTGTTCTTTCCATTCTTCTTCTTCTAATCCTTCCTCAATTCCCTTCTTTTTCTTTCTCTTCTTGTTTACTATCTCCCATACCTTCGCCTCCCTCCTTGCTCTCTCTACTTTTCTCTCCCATCTCTGGTTCTCTTTTTCCTTCTTCCTCTTACACAGCGCCTTAAACTTCTTCCTCTTTTTCTTGTATGTGCTGCCTTCTCCTCTTTTCTTCCTCCATTCCCTTAATTTTCTCCTTGCCTCTTCGCTTCTCTACACTCTTTATCCCACCATCCTACCTTCTTCTTCTTGGTTCCCTCCATCTTCTCCTCTACCCCTTTTATTGCCTCTGTTATTTTTATTTCCATTTCTTCCCATTCCTTATTCAACTCTTCCCCCTTTACTTCCACCTCTCCTATTTTTTCTGTAAACCTCTTTACTCCTTCATCGTTCCATACCCCCTGCCTCTTTTTTTCCGCCCTCTTCTTCTACCTTCCTCCTCGTTCTCCCTTCTTAGAACAATTTCCACAGGGTGATGGTTTGAGTCCACTCTATCCCTCACCATCAAACTCTCTATCTTCTCTCTTACTTCTTTTTCTCTTATTACATAGTCAATCACCATCTCTCCTCTTCCTCCCGTAAAGGTAAATTCCCCCTCCTCGTCTCCTCTCACATTTCCATTGAATATCTCTCATCCTCTCTCTTCTAAACTATTTACCAGCAACCTCCTCTCTTTGTCTATCTTCTTATCTTTCGATCTTCTTTCCCCTGCCGACCATCCTCCTCCTTCCTCTTCCTCTATACTCCCACCTTCTCGCCCAGTCCTCGCATTGAAATCTCTCCCTATTATCGTAAATCTTCTTTTCTCTTTTCTTTCCATTATGTGTCCCAGCTCCTGTAAGCTCTCCTCTATCTCCTCTTTTTTTGCATATACCCTTATAATACTCCATCTCTCTCCACCTATCCTAACCTTTCCCGCTATCAAGCCCTCCCTATCAGTTTCAATCTCCGTCCCCTTCTCTTTAAACCCTTTTCTTATTCCCATTATTATCCCTCCTATTGCTCTCTCTTTTTTATTCTTTCTTTTCGCCATTTGCACTCCCCATTTGTACCCTCTTGGCAACCTTCCCCTTATTCTCTCCCAGCCCTTTTCTCCTATCCAGGTCTCTACCATGACTAATACATCCTTTTTCTTCAACGCTTCCCAAAAGTCCTTGTCTTTATTTTTCAAACCAGCTACACTCCAGAATACCACCCTCCAAAACTTACTTTTCCCCTCCTCTTCTCCTTTGCCTTCCATATTGCCACTCTTTAATTCCTCCCCTCTCCCCTCTTCTTCCCCCGTCACCATTCTCAATCCTCCCCCTTCTACCTTACCTCCCTCCTCCTTCTCTCCTCCACTCTCCTTTCTTATCATTCCCCTTTCATCCTTTAACACCTCCTCTTCCATATCCCAGCTCCACCATACATTTTCCAACCTTATTCTGCCCGCTTTAATCCACGCCCTCTTTCCCTCTCTTTCTTCTCTTCTCGCTAACTCTCTCAGTATCCAGTTCGTCCTTCTTTCCTCCCACGTCAAATCCTCCATGATTCTCTCCTTTCTCCCCACCAAGCTCCTCTTTTTTTCCATCACCTCCCATTTTTGTTCATTTTCCAATTTCAACAACACCATTTCTCTTCCTTTTTTCACATTCCCCCTTATTCTCTTCACCTCTATTGCCTTCACCTTGGCTCCTATTCCCTCCAACTTCTCCGCTTCTTGTCTCCTCCCTCCTTCCTTCACTTCTAAACCCCTTATCACTATGTTTCTTCTTCTCTCCTCCTTCTCCTTTCTTTCCAGCCTTCTTTCCAACTCTTTCATTCTCTCCCTCATCTTGTTTCCGTTTCCTATCTCCCCCTTTTCCTTTCCCTTTCTTTCTCTTATTTTCTCCTCCACTCTTTTTATCCTTTCCTCCACTTTCTCCTCAAGCTTTTTTACTTTTTCTTCTAGCGCTTCTCTCTGCTTCCTCCATATTGCCTCACTTCTCCTCAATTCTTCCTTCAAACCCTTAATTTCGTTTTTTATATCGTTCTATATTTCCTCTTTATCTTTTTTCCTTACCTCTTGTTTCTCCATTTTCCTTAATATCTTTCTTAGCAGCTCTTCTGCCTCCATGTTTCCTCTGCCCTCTTCTCCATTTTTATTAATTATCTCCCTTATCTCTTTTTCACCTACTTTTGTTTCCGCTTTTTTTTTAGGCGACCTTGTTGTCATATTACTTCTCTTGAACACTATCTCTTTCTCTTCCCCCCCCCCGCTCTTATCTAGATCATCTCTCTTCCTTTTCCAAATCTCATCTAGGGTTCTAGAGTTCTCCTCTCGCGTTCCCATGCTCCCCGTACTCCCTCTTCTACCTCTATACTTTTCTTTTACTTTATCTATCCCTTTATCTATCACTTCTTTCATCTCTGTCCCGCTTTCCTTCTCATCGCTCATCCCTGCCTACTCTAAGTCTCAATTCTCCCTCTACCTATGCTCTACTCTGTGCCCTGCCACGCCAAGCACGTAGCTCCGTTCGCCCGCCGAATCGCCCCTCTACACCGTCTCTCGTTCTCGCCCTACCCCGCGCCACCGTACGCTTCTCTTCTCACCTGTCGCGTCGCCCCTCTACCTCAGCTATTGTTCGTGTTGTAACCTATGCCCGCGCCCTGTCACTTTTTCACTCTATACTTCCCTCTCACGCTCCTCCACCACTCTCCCCTTTTTCCTCCACACTCACTCACCTTTGCTCCTCCCTTCTCGCACACTCTCGCCTTCCTCAGCCTCCTGTGTCACTCCTTGTTCTTCACTTTCTATTCGCACACTCTCACACGCTGTCAACACAGTCTCACCGGAAACGGAAGTCTCCTTATTTTCCGATTATATGCATTTATCTTGTATTGGTGTTATGGAAAAAATATGTTTAGCTATTGTTGATGGAAAATATGCTTCTTCTGCAAAACTATCACCTACTTCAATAAAATCTCTTTCTGCCAAATTAGAGATTGCCAAGAAATTTTGTCCAAAAAAATTTGCTAGAAAGCCGATTAATGCAACAAAGCATCGTTTTTTCAAAGCTACAGAACATCGTCAAATTTTGCAGTATAGTGGTCCTGTTATTTTTTGCGGACTCATGAATGAAGCCATGTATTTGCACTTTTTATTGTTACAATCTGCGATGCGTATTTTAGTAGACGTCGTTTGTTGTAGGAATGCAGCAGCTATTAATAAAACAGAATTAATGTTAAAAATTTTTGTTCAAAGAGCTCCTGAACATTATGGTATAGAATTTCTTTTGTATTAGTCCATGGGTCTTCTACACTTAGCTAATGATGTAAGAAATTTTGGTCCTTTAGATTCGTTTTCAGCTTTCCCATATAAAAATAATATGAATTATTTCAGAAAAATTTGCAGAAAGCCAAATCAACATTTGCAGCAAATAGCAAATAGACGTTATGAGGAAAAAGGGTTACAGGAAAAATTCGTTATTTTAATTGAAGATTTCATTCAAGTTTCAGGTTTACATAAACATGGACTTGTACCTGCAATTTATTTTCATCACTATTTTCAATATCGGAAATTACTTTGTAAACAGTTTATTTTATCATTAAATGAAAGGGATGATACAATAATTCTCGAAAATTGTACTGTTTGCATTATTCAAAATATTATTGGTCATGATAATAAGTATTATCTTGTAGTGAAACGTTTTTATAAGATTGAAAATTTCTTTTCTACTCTAGTGCAATCTTCCAATGTAGGAATTTTTCATTGTTCCTTGCTTGCCGATGAATTAATAATTGTAGCGGCCGCGCGCGCGCCCCTACCAAGACAGCAACACATTCAGCTACGTCTTCTCGCGAGCGCTCAAACGCGCCGGTCAAATATATAAACAAATTCGACAGCAACATTCATTGCCCCGATCGATACTCTCACCGACGCCTCATTGGACAAGAGTTAGACGGGCATATAGTGGAGTGGCACCATCGCGACTCGTCGAAGAGTCGCATGGTATTTTTTGGGGACGCATCCTCCACATACCATCGCTACCTCCAATCATACACTCCTCTCCATCGCTATCATCCCTGATCGACATCGACACACGCATCCTCACAAAGTTCCACCCGCTTAAGTTATGACGTATGCCGTAATGTGTGAACTGGTGATGTTTGTTGTATATATGTGGGGCCTTGAAAAGGACCGTTTGTGTGTTAATGTGGCTCTGAAAAGGACCGTTTGGTTGTGCCCTAATGTTGGAGTGGGCGTTTGCCCCAGATGAGGCACGGCTCTGTCCGGGAGCGGTTGACGTGGCCACGGCGGTGATTCTAGTCGTATCAATTTCCACGCGACGGACAGGTGCTCCTGCGACTTTTTTTTTTACTTGGGAAAATCTTTAACTGCTGGGTTCCCGGGCCGAAGCCCGGTATGTGGCCCAGCAGCCCCCTCTGGTGGTGGAGGAGGAAGACCCCCTCGTCCTCCTGGGAGAAGAGTGTGGGATTCTACGGGAGCCGGGCAATAAACCCTGCACTCATCGCAGCCTACCCACTAAAACCCCAAGAGTATCCAAAGCTACGTCGTTAGGGGAGGTGCCTGGGAACAGTTATTATTGCATCCAGGACACCCCCCGGCGCTTGGCCCTAGTTGGGCCTCCTCCGCGAACCCCGCTTTTAAGAGGGTTCAAGACTCTGTGGAGTCACATTATTCTTTTGTGGCGGAGTGTGGACACCACCCACTCCGCCACACCTCCCGTTGTTGTGAAAGGTGAGTTTGACACCTGGATTCCCAGCCAGGTGCCGAACCTCCCCTCCTCCGGGCCTCACCCCGTCGAAGGGGGGAAGGTCTAGAGGTACTGGACTTTTCAAGCCGCATTGATTTGCAGCTTACTCCCTGAGATGGACAGGGAGAGTCAGAGAGATTGGCGTGATCCTCTGAGATATATATATCTCTAATTATGGCCGATTCGCCGCAGGTTGTTTTCGACGACGAACTCGTTCTGCCTCCTCCTTGGCGGACATGACACGACCACAATATGTCACGAATGCCCGCCATTTATCCTTGCTTCCGACGGCCGCCGCCACGACCGCCGGAAGTGAAAGGTCGTACCCTATCTCGCTTATCAGGACACGGCGGTGTTCCAGCCACGCCGGGCACTCTGCCAGGGTGTGTTCCGCCGTGTCCTCCTCCTCGTCGCAGTGGTGGCAACAATGGCCGGTCTTCTTCCCTATTTTGCCCAGGTACCGACCGAAACATCCATGTCCGGTCAGCACCTGGGCCACGTGAAAAGTAATTCCCAGTCCCCGACTGCCCAGCCATTCTGCTAGGCAGGGCTGGATGGCGTCGACGGTCCTTCTGCCGAATTTAGCAGCAGGCAGATGTTTGTCACGCCACTTCCTCACAAGGACTGCCTTCTCTTAGAGCCTAATGGCACGACGCGCCGATTCCTGGCCCCCCGGCCCGCAGCCCCGCTACGCGCCTATGAACTTCAGCACGTTGCAGGTCCGCGAGCTCCAACGGGGGAATCCTTGCCAGAAGCGTCGCCGCCGTGTGAGAGACCGTGCGATACACACGTGACACTCTTAATGCCACCGCGCGCTGAATGCGGCACAAATGTGCCTTAATCTTGACGCGCGCGGGGCCCCTCAACATAGGTGCCCAAACAGGTGCACCGTAGAGCGTCACGGCGTGCACAGTCTTGGCGTAAAGCCGGCGAGCACGTCCACTCGCCCCTCCTAGATGGGCATTATCCTGGCGAGATTGCTCGCTACGCCCAATGCCCTGGGAGCTAGACGAGCGAAGTGCTCGCCAAAGCTCCAAGAGCCATCCAGCCAGAGGCCCAGTACCTTCATGCTGGCCTCTACGGGGACTCGAGTTCCCTCCACAAGTATGTGAGTCCCAGGCGGCTTCCCCATTGAGCGGTCGTAAAAGAAGACCGCCTGGGTTTTTTGGGGAGCCACCTTGAGGCCCACTCTGTCCATCTCTGCCACCACTTTTGCCACCGCGAAGTTAGTTATAGCGTTTTCGATTGAAGCGGATTTGATCAACACGAGGTCGATTAAACTCGTTTCCATGTGAACATATGTTCAACCTGAAATGTGTTTGAATCTGGTTCAGGTTCTGGTTATAAAGCATTAAAAAGTGACGTCCCGTTTAACCACAACCACAAAAAATAAAAACTTGAGAAATTAAATAACATTATATAATATAATAAATTAAGTTTGATTTGCAATGAATATTTTTTCTGTGATATAAAATTAATAACTTTATTTATATCTTTAGGCATCATTTATGAATCGACAACGTTTGATACTAATTCTTACAGAGTTTATATTTTCTGAGGATAGTTCTGATAATGAAGATATGAAAATAATAGCAAAAGTAATAAACAGTATACTAAGAAAAATACCTCGCATACCAACATTTTTATAAGTAATTGAACTATATAATGATAAAGAAGTTAGTATGAACATAACCTTATACATACTTATTAAAAATAAAAAGTATATAGAAAATTTTTTACAAAAATATGTTTTGATTACAGTTTAAATCTCGTTTTCGTATTTCACGTGAAACGTGTGATTTTCTTGTTGATTTATTCGAACAAAATAAATATTATTCTTTGGAGAGCGAAAAAAAAGGAAGTTATAAATCAAAAACAGCTTTAGAACATATTCTGTGTTTTCTATGGTACATTCAAATATATCAATATATATTTAAAATTAAACAATTACAATTAAACAATTAAACAATTACAATTAAACAATTACAATATTTAAAATTAAACAATTACAATTAAACAATTAAACAATTACCTATATTATTTATTCATACCATGAATTAATGAGAAATAAGTGTAATATTTGTATAATTGCTTACATTAATTTTTATATATTTTTAGGTTTGCAGGTAACAAGTGTGTTATACGTAGTGTTGCAGATCTATTTGATATGAGTTTATCTACTACACATCTAATAATTATTAGAGTAATAAATTTTTTATGTGATATTGCACCATCAATAATTAAGTTTCCTCAAACGGCTGAAGAAAGAGAGACAAATGCCATACAATTATATTTCTAGATATGTCACATCCCTGGTATTGTTGGGTGCATTGATGGATCATATATATCTATCCGAACACCTAGTCATAAAATTAGATCTACATATGTTAATCGACATGATGAGACAGCTATAACATTGCAAGGAATATGTGATGCTCAAAATAGGTTTATAGATGTTTTTACTGGAATTTCCAGTAAAATACATGATGCTTGCGTTTATAGCATGTCATTTATTCGAGAGAAAGTGTGTCAAATGGGAGAAGATTATCACATAATTGGTGATGCTGCATCCCCACTGTCCACAAATTTAATAACACCATATAAAGATTATGGTACTCTAAATGAAACGGAGAGAACATTTAATTATTCATTTTGCAAAGCTAGGGTTAAAATTGAGAATACGTTTGGTATTTTAAAAGGTAGATTTCCCAATAAGAACAAGAAGGTATAATATACGTATATTTATGGTATTAACGTATAGTATAAACATGATATATTAAACGTATATGACTTGAGTATAATTTCCGTTTCTATGACCGTCTCATATACGTTTTCATATATCAATTTTTATTCGCGTATTAAACGTTATACATATACGAATTAAATTCGAATAATTATTCACCCGAAATAAAAAAAATTATTTATTTCGAAATTTTATTACTATTTTTTAACTAAATTTGTTTCTTAAGATGCAGTCCATGATTATAAATATTTTTTTGTATTTGAAAAACACACTTACCTTGGTGGGATTCGAACTCGGGACCTCTGCATCGTGAGCCAACTGCCTTACGTGGTAGACTACTTCTTAATTTGATGTAAACGTTATATATAGTCTACATATGTCATAACAGGATGTGGTATAAAATACGTTTATTATTTGTTAAAAATTGCCGCGGTAAAAGCATATAAATATAATATACGCTCAACCTTTTATTAACATATTTAAAAAGTATATCATACCTGGATATTAAATCCTATTCCTAAGACGTTATTTAAA